TCCATCATCCATTCTTCCATTCATCTACATCTATCCAACCACTCATCTGTCATCCATCCTTCTATCCATCCATCCATCATCCATCCATCATCCATCCTTCCATTCATCCACATCCATCCTTCCATCATCCATCCTTCTATGTATCCATCCATCCTTCCAACCATCCACCCATCCATCCATCCATCATCCATTCATTATCCACCCTTCCATTCATCCCCATCCATCCATCCACCCATTTGTCATCGATCCTTCCATCCATTCGTCCAACATCCATTACCCATCCTTCTATGTATCCATCCATCATTCATCCTTCTATCCATCCATATCCATCATCCATCCTTCCATTTATCCACATACATACATCCAACCATCATCCAACCATCCATCCATCATCCATCCATTATCCGTCCTTCCATTCATCTGCATCCACCCATCCCTCTATTCCTCTGTCATTCACCCATTATCCATCCTTCTATCCATCCATCTATCCATCATCCATCCATCCAACCATTCAGCTATACACCCATTTATGGCCCCATCCAACTATCAATCCATCCCACCATCTGCAACATTCATGGAGCAGACACAGTGCCAAATGGTAAGGATAATGAGACACAGTTCTTGCCCTTAAGGGATTTATAGGCTAGTGAAGCAGACAGACCCATAAACTGACCATTGCAAAGTGCTTATAATTGCTACGGTAGAGGACAGCAGGAAGTACCAAAACTAAAATGCCACAAAACTGCATCACCTGTAAATAAGCTAGGGTCGCACTGCCCACACTTAGTTTTATTAGTATTTCTTAAAGTGCTCCTAGTTCTGATCCAAGAAAAGTATTAGAAATCACTAGTAACACTGCAACAGATGAGAAGGAGAATCACTCCTCTGTCCCTTGGGCCACCACTGGTGAAGAACTACTATGGCCGGACACGTTCTGGGTGACACAGCAATGGAGGAAGCAGACACAAGTCTCTGTCTCTGGGTGTTTATCTTCCCCTGAGGGAACAGACATGAGACCACAGGTAATGATGAGTAGCCCAAGGGGACAGAGGCTCCTGCCGGGAGGGAGGGAGGGAGGGCGGCGTGCCACAACCCCACGGACAGAGGCTCCTGCCGGGAAGGAGGGCAGCGTGCCACAACCCCATGGGACAGAGGCCTAGTAGCACGGCGTCCTCGGCCTCTCTCAGCAGCTGGAAGGTGCGCACGTCTCCACATGACACCCTTGGAGCTGTCATTCACCATCTGTCTTCTTCCTCAGCAGCACACAAGGCAGTGCCACGTTTCCCTCGACGGCATCTGAGCTCTGGTGAGTGCCGTCTGCACATCCATCCTCAAGTCAGCCCTGGGAGGCCCCGGCCAGGGGCCCTGCTTTGTTTCTGACCAAGAGGCTCCCACGCCTGCCTGAACACATGCCCCGTGTGGCCCTCCAGAGTGGAGAGGCGCCCGAGGTCTGGAGCCTGGGGACACCCCCAACTGCAGAGACTGGACCCTGCCCCTCAGCGGGGCCATAGCCATGGGCGCCGGGAGCACAGTGGAAACCGCCACCTGGAAACCGTGGAATAGCAAGTAACCCAGCCGCCCACTGAGAAAACTCCCGCGACATGCCTCCGCGGGAGTGTGTGCACGTGTGTGTGAGCCGTGGTGTGTGCATGTGAACGTGTGAGCCATGGTGTGTGTGTGTGTGAGAACCGTGGTGTGTGTGAGCCGTGGTGTGTGTGTGCGCGTGCATGTGAGCCATGGTCTGTGTGCACACACACGTGTGAGCTGTGGTGTTTGCGTGTGTGCGCGCAAGTATGAGCCGTGGTATGTGCATGCATGTGCACACATGTTTTGTGAGTGTGCTACCACTTCATATAATGAAGGTGAGTGTGGGGCAGACAAGGCCTAACACAACCTTCAGTGCCTTTCAGTGTGATTTATGGAAAAAGAGGGAGAAACAATCACAGGTTTGGTTTGAGAGTTCATGACAAGCAATTTGGCAGCTCCCGGGGACCAGCCGCCACCCAGATGGTGAAGCCCACCCAGGAGCCCAGCTGGGGAGGGAGTGGGGACAGCACCGCCCACCTGAGGCTGAGGACCCACCTCAGGAGGACACAGAAACGATTCCTCAGCCTGAGATTTTAGAGAAAACCTGTTCATTTAGAGGTAAAAAATGTGTGCTCTGGAGTGTGGTGTGTGGTGTGTGGTGTGTGTGCTGTGTGCTCTGTGTGTTGTGTGTGTGTGTGTGCTGTGTGCTCTGGGTGTTGTGTGGTGTGTGTGTTGCATGCTCTGTGTGTTGTGTGGTGTGTGTGTTGCGTGCTCTGTGTGCTGTGTGGTGTGTGTGCTGTGTGCTCTGTGGTTTGTGGTGTGTGTGTTGTGTGCTCTGTGTGTTGTGTGGTGTGTGTGTTGCGTGCTCTGTGTGCTGTGTGGTGTGTGTGCTGTGTGCTCTGTGTGTTGTGTGCTGTGTGTGCTGTGTGCTCTGTGTGTTGTGTGTGCTGTGTGCTCTGTGTGTTGTGTGGTGTGTGTGTTGTGTGTGCTGTGTGCTCTGTGTGTTGTGTGGTGTGTGTTGTGTGCTCTGTTGTGTGTGTGCTATGTGCTCTGTGTGTTGTGTGGTGTGTGTGTTGTGTGCTCTGTGTGTTGTGTGCTCTGTGTGTTGTGTGGTGTGTGTGTTTTGTGCTTTATGTGTTGTGTGGTGTGTGTGTTTTGTGCTTTATGTGTTGTGTGGTGTGTGTGCTGTGTGCTCTGTGTGTTGTGTGGTGTGTGTGCTGTGTGCTCTGTGTGTTGTATGGTGTATGTGCTATGTGCTCTGTTGTGTGTTGTGTGCTCTGTGTGTTGTGTGGTGTGTGTGTTGTGTGCTCTGTGTGTTGTGTGGTGTGCTGTGTGCTCTGTGTGCTGTGTGGTCTGTGTGCTGTGTGGTGTGTGTGTTGTGTGCTCTGTGTGTTGTGTGGTGTGTGTGCTGTGTGCTCTGTGTGTTGTGTGGTGTGTGTTGTGTGCTCTGTGTGCTCTGTTGTGTGTGTGTTGTGTGCTGTGTGTTGTGTGTGTTGTGTGCTCTGTGTGTTGTGTGGTGTGTGTGTTTTGTGCTCTATGTGTTGTGTGGTGTGTGTGCTGTGTGCTCTGTTGTGTGGCGTGTGTGGTGTGCTCTGTTGTGTGTGTGCTGTGTGCTCTGTGTGTTGTGTGGCGTGTGTGTTGTGTGCTCTGTTGTGTGTGTGCTGTGTGCTCTGTGTGCTCTGTGTGTTGTGTGTGCTGTGTGCTCTGTGTGTTGTGTGGTGTGTGTGTTGTGTGCGCTGTGTGCTCTGTGTGTTGTGTGGTGTGTGTTGTGTGCTCTGTTGTGTGTGTGCTATGTGCTGTGTGTTGTGTGGTGTGTGTGTTGTGTGGTGTGTGTGTTGTGTGGTGTGTGTGTTGTGTGGTGTGTGTGTTTTGTGCTCTATGTGTTGTGTGGTGTGTGTGCTGTGTGCTCTGTGTGTTGTGTGGTGTGCTGTGTGCTCTGTGTGTTGTGTGGTGTGTGTGCTGTGTGCTCTGTGTGTTGTATGGTGTATGTGCTATGTGCTCTGTTGTGTGTGTGTTGTGTACTCTGTGTGTTGTGTGGTGTGTGTGTTGTGTGCTCTGTGTGTTGTGTGGTGTGTGTGCTGTGTGCTCTGTGTGCTGTGTGGTCTGTGTGCTGTGTGGTGTGTGTGTTGTGTGCTCTGTGTG